TAGAAGAGCCAAACCGGATTTCAAGCTTATGTTCAGCTCGATTATTAAAGATGTTTTTTGCTTCAAAAATGAAATCAGGCAACACTTCTAAAAGCTGCACTTTTGGAAAAGCTTATGTTTTTTGCTTCACAAGTGCTTTTACAACATAAAACTCGAAGTTACTTAAGTTGTTCCTCTGGCGAATCCTTAATCGTATCTTGCCTACCACAGAAGCCTGATTGAGAAACGGGTCCAAATTTTGCCAAAATGTCCGGTGTGTTGGGCAGAGTCTGAAACGATGGAACACCTTTTTTGGGAGTGTCCATTCGCTGCAGCTCTTTGCATCATTCGGGTTTGGACCATTTAGGGAAAGATTTTCCTAAACAGACCTTCCATTTGTTTTAAGAAGTGCTTAGGATGACCCAGACGGTGCAAGTTATGGCTTTGGTGGCGCTCCTGTGGCATATTGGAAGTTCAGGAATTGAGCGACTTTTAAGGGTAAGCAGTTCTTGGTTTCCCAATTGATGCGTCAATACCATCAGCAGTTGCATGAGTGAGTGTCTTTACCGGAGGATAGATTGGTCCTGGGTCGGGGTCTTTCGCAGCACCAGCAGGCGGAGGTAGATTATTTGCCAAACCATCGTCTGTATGTGGGACGGTGTTGTGCGGTCTGGCTCACATTCAGCGGGAGGGATGATCGTGAAGGATGGCGTTGGGAATGTGGTGTTAGTGAAAGGTTTGTTTTTTGATGCCATTGTCGATCATCTTATGGTTGAGACTATTGTCCTCCGTGAAGCTGTTAGTGGTGTCAGACTCTTGGCATCCCTTAAGTTCGGTTTGAAGGTGATGCGAAGATACTCATTGATAAGATTAATGCCAAAGATGCGCGGGATAGTTGAGGCCATTATCAATGAGATCCTCAGTCTGATGGGTATGAATAGTGGGTTTTTGTGTTCGGTTCGTAGGTTGGCATAGCAATAGGGTAGTCCATTTAGTGTCTAGAAAGACCCTTTATTTGTCTCCGGCTCTGTGCCGATTGTATGATTTTCTTGTCTAGGTTGTGTTTAGGGTGTAATTTCTTATCTTTAATCAATCAATATGATTATCTTTTGTCCAAAAAAAACATAAAATTCAAAGTTTCAATTTGATATTCCAAGAAAAGTTGTTTAAAATACGAGATTATGCTTATCAATTATATTTTCTTTCTAGAAAATATGATTTTATTTATATTATCTAAAACTAAAAAAATTATAAATATTATTTAACATAAAAGTGATCCAACAAGATCTATTTTCAATTTTTTTTCTTATCATATTTTATAATATAAATATTTTCATTCATTTTCAATCATATTATAAATTTAAAAAATATTTCTGATAATTTATGAGACGAACACTCAAATTTTTTGGATAATGAATATTTATTAGGCAAACATATTTCAGATTCTTTTTTATTACTCAAACCTATTAAAATACTATTAATTAGGCAAATGTTAACTTACAGTTAACAATTTTGTTAATAATATTGTCTTGAAAACGTGATACTAACTCGAAAGAGACACATGGAAGTCAACATTCCAAAATTTTAGTATTTAAACTAAGAAAGAGTTACAAAATAATTAACGATAATGTAAAGATGACTAATATTTTGATGCATTGAATTTTTTTGTGTGGCTAATTCTTAGTAGTTCAATAGGTTTGACTAATAAAAATAATGTGAAAAAATATTTGGCTAATAAATAGTCATTACTCAAATTTTTTCTAAAATATTTCTATAAAAACACCTTAACAACTTTGCAAATACACCTATGTTAATTTCATTACACCTAGATTAATGTCAACCATATACTTTCCATTGGTGGACTCAACTGAATTTTTTTTACTGAAATAAAATATTGACATTATTTTATCATAACAATAAAAAAATAATTCACTGTTTATCTACCTATGTTACAATAATAAAATTAATATAATTTTTATGGACTACTCCAAACCACGAAAAGGAAACAATTTCCAAAAAAAAAAGCGAATGTCAATTAATAAATAACTTTTATTCTTATTTTATTTTTATGTATTACTTACAAAATTAATTTCATCCTAAGCTTTGTGTCTAGCTACTCCATTGATATAATTCTCATTGTACAAATTGGCCAACCGCCACCGTGTGGATGGACTAAGAGCCACAGATTGGAAGGTGCTACTACTACTCCATTCATTTCCTTCCCAAAAAGGTTAAATATTAAAATATCTGTTAATCCAAGGAGGGTTGTTGTGTTGGGTCCGCAATGGCACCGCAAATTGGTTCTCAGCCACAAACATTTATTATGTATAATTGAAGGAACTTGTAAATATCTCCATATCATTGCACTAAACAAACACCACCTAGTTAACAATTATTCTAAACAAGAAACCTTATCCCATGGAAACGCAATGAAACAAAAAGTCGTTTTGAATTCCTCTTTTTCCCCTATAAAATTCCCTTTAGTTTAATATGAGGCGTTGGAGTTGGGGTGGCGCACAATGCATATCTCCAATGATGTTATTTTATTCCCTCCTTTCAGTTTCAACATTGCAATAACTATGGGAAGGCATCTTTTTATCCTCCTATGCTGCTTAGCTTGCTTGGTGTTGATAGTGATGTGCAGGAAGAGGAAGGACGCAGAGAGCACTATGTAGTGAGTGAGTGGGGTATATTTTTATTTGTGTTATTCTTCTCTCACAAAGGTATAATTAAGTTAATTGGAATCGGTCTACTTTACAAAAGTCCAATTGAATTTACAATGTTCAAGTGCGTTGATGGTTTTCCAATGGTATGTTTCGGGAAATTTTAAATTCAAATATATACACGGTGACAATTATTGGTAGTACGTACTTTGCTGTTGTAATTTGATGGGTTAACTGCGCTCTAGCTCGAAAAGGTCAACTTAGGAAATGGTTGCAATCGACCTTCACATTCACAAGAATGGTGAAACGATTGACAAGAATAGTCCATCAAATTTCAAATAACTCCTACTCAAAAAGTTTACCTAAATAATCATGAATCTAGGGGTGTTCAAATGGTTACCATGGTTATAACCAAATCAAATAAGGCTAAATTCCATTAACCATGGAATATAATTACATAACCAAACCGTCCAAACTAATACAACAACCGAATTAACCAAACTAAAGTTTAATCGGTTTGGTTAATTGGTTAACCAGATTAACCAATATAAAATCACATTATCATTGACGATGAAAATTTTCCGGTTAATGCAACAATTCGCAATTTATATAATGATAAAACATAACAATCAACACGTAGTTATAGTTGACCCTTAACAAAAATACATGCAACTAAGACAATTATCTTACGATTAGTATAGAAGTATTCACCTAACAAAAATTTATGACAATGGTATTGGGTTAGTGAATTGTTGTGTTTGTGTAAATTGACTTAGTCTCTTAGCAATTATCATAGACTGGAAATGACCTTCCTTTCAAGTTTTCATCCATCATAATGTATGAAATTTATCTAAATTAGGCGTCCATATATTGTGGTCTACATTTTACATATACAAATATGCACTATATGAGCAATATTGAGCTTTATATTTATGAGTCTAAAAGGGATGAACGTTAACTCTTGAGTGGTTATGCAAAGTATTAAGTATGTGTATATAATATATGTTAGATATATGACTAATTACTTAACTGGTTAATTTGGTTTGACTGGTTAGGAGTGTCTGAAACCAAACCAAACCACCTAAACCAAACAAGCTACAAACTTTAACCAAACCAAACCAATTATCCAAATTAACCAAACCAAATTATCCAAATAGTACTGGTTAAAACGGTTACCATGGTAACCAAACCGTTTGAACACCCTACATGAATCTACCTTTTTATTAAATTGTCACATGTACTATGTTGTTCAGTCTACCGTATGCCATAGAGTCTATCTATTTATATAATTATTAATTATCAAGATTTTGAAATATAATACTATACTCTAACTTCTAATGGTGTTAGTATATAGAATAGATTGATGACTTTTGTTATATATTTGTTTAATACATGTTTTTTATTGTAATTAGGGTTAGCTTATAGAGTAGATCGATGGCTTATTTGTTTCATATATGTACGGTGTTGTAATTAGGTAGGATTGAACATATATAAATATTGTAAATTTTAATTTTGGTGAAATGAAAATACATTTTTTTCATATTAAATAGGTGAACCCTAATGTATAATTTCTAAACATATCCCAAGAACAATTTAATAACCGACTATCATGATTTATCAAAGTATATAACAACTAATAGTTACAATCGCGCAGTCTGAACTACTTTTTGGCATATAAAACCGAGGATCGTGAATCCACTCTATGTCGTACAATTCCAAATGAATGGAAACTAGTACCTTCGCCGGCCGGGCTGACCTAATTGAAAGTGATAATTCCATATGGTCGGCCGTAAAAATTTCAGGAAAATGAAAGGAATAATAATATATATAATCAACAAATTTTATAAAATGACCATTGGAGTATGACAGGAGACGTAATTTATAAACTTGTGGCCCTACCTTTTGCCCATAGCTTTGGATATAAAACGTCGGCCATGGAAGGCCTAATGGTTTACTTTTCTCATCAACAACTACTCTCTTCTCTAGTTAACATCATCTCTCAAAACAAACATTTCCCCATCTCTCTCTCTCTCTGAAAGAACATTTGATCAGGATCTGAATATGACAAAAGTATACCCAAACTCGGCTTCTTCACCACAGCAACCGCCAGGTTCAGCAACCAGTCTTCATCATCGCGGTGGTCTCGCAACCAGCTCCCTAGATTGTCAAATGATCATCGCTCGGCCGCCGCCGACGACTCGTCATCGTCGGAGCAGGTCGTGCTGACGGTATGGAAGAAATCCTTGCTCTTCAACTGCAACGGCTTTACTGTATTCGACGCCAGAGGGAACCTGGTTTTCAGGGTCGACAATTACATGGCCGCATCGGGCAACACGGCGAGATCCTCCTCATGGATGCCGCCGGCAAGCCCCCCTCACCAGCCGCCGCAAGGTACGAGTCGTATTATAAACATAATACGAATTGTTATGTAATTTGGCAGAGTCATATTCCTTATGAAATTTTTCTGGTTTGTGTCTATGTGTAGAGGATGAGCCTGACAGAGAGCTGGTTGGTGTTCGAGGGCGAAACGACGACGAATCCCAAGTTTTGTGTGCGGAAAAAGGCGAGACGTACTCATCCGAAATGTTTGGCGCAAGTGAGCCACTGTGGTGGTAACAACAACAACTTAGTGTATGAGATAGAAGGATCTTATGCGCAAAGACGATGTACAATGTACGATTCGAAGAGGCGGATTGTGGCGGAGATCCGGCAGAAGGAGCGGCGTGCGGCGGCGGTGTTGCTTTTGGGTTTGATGTTTCCGCCTCATAGTTCGGCCCGACATGATGGACACCTCGTTAGCTATGGCGCTTGTTACCTTTTGGACCAGATGTTTGGATCTTCCAGGCGTTCTTCTCTTTCTTCGCCTATTAATTACTTGTGAGGGCTACTTTATATAGCTACTTAGATACCCAAAAAAAAAGAGTTATCAACCAAACGTAGCAGCACACAGTAAGTACATTTAAATTTTCGACACTAGCTAGTATGTAATTAGTTTCGTATTATCATAGTGATTGGCTTTTCTTTCGTCCATATATAGAGTTTATACTTTATTCAATGGATCTTCATGCGTGTCCATCCACTTTAACGAAGCGGTGTTAGCAAATGGAATATTAATCACGATCATATAAGGGGGAAAAAAGTCCCATATCATACCACCTCATAGGGAATCCGATACCCTATTTAGTTTTTTATACATAAAGTTAGTGGATGCTCCAGTGTAGGGATGGCTATTTGGACCGGGATCGGATGAAAAACCGGAAACGGACCGCATAACTCGGACCGAGACCGGACCGGGACCGGATAGTAAACAATCCAATCCAATCTTTGGGCTTAGATTTGAGGTAAAAAACCCGGATAAAGACCGGATAGGAGAGCTTAACACCCAAAAGTTAAGGGTAATTTGCATAAACGGTCACAAACCTTTGCACTTAGTACAAAACTTAACCAACTCCTCACCCTTTTAGGCCTTAGGCCACTCAAATTCCCACAATCTCAATATAAAATCAAGACCGAATTGGGACCGGACCGGGTCAAGACCGGACCTGATCAAGACCGGACTGTATCCAATCCAATCTTTGGTCCTTATATTTCCAAAAAACCCGGACTGGACCAGATCAATTTGGGCCAATTTAACCGGACCGGACCGTATAGCCACCCCTACTCCAGTGTATCATTTGCATTATATGTGTTCACATATGTTGGGATGTAATTTGATGTAATTCGATGAATCATTAACCATCGGTTAATATGATGAGAGTGTCACGTCCCATTTGACTCATATCCAAGCTTGTGTTGATGCGAGCCCAATGGCGGCTCTAACGGGCTAAGACGAAGACAAGGAGGCAAGGAGCTGGCGGCTCTACCAGTGCAGCGACCGGGTTTTTATGGTGGAAGAATTCCCCGACCGGGAAATCAGGGGGAAGGGCGGGTATTCGTCCGGGGAATTCCCGGCCTGAGATGCAAAATACCTGACCGGGTATTTAGATCAGGTTTCGGGTCTGACCGACGGGATTTTTGTGTTTTAAGTTATTTTTGTTATTTTTAATTGTCCAAACCTATATAAAGGTTGAAACTCGGGTTTTAGGGTTAGTTTTTAGCAGAATATTGATTTTTACCTTGGTTTTGAGCTTGGGGCTTTTGACGAATTGAATAGAAACCCTTTGGTTTTGTGCAAGTTTGCGGACTTGTGTCAGTTTGGTGGATTCCAAACTCATGAGCTCTTGTATCGATTGAATAGTCTTTTCAATCGTGGCCGGACATCTATCCTTATACGAATCGAGCCTTTCCCCAGTGTGGAATAGCACGTTTGGTTCCGTTCTGTCTCAAACACCCAAGAACAATATATTTTTGGTTTGTTTTATTCGTTCAATCAAGGTTCTTCTTTGATTAATTGTGCTGCGTACTTGATCAAAACAAGCACCCCCCTGTGCTCGTATTATGTGCAATACTTTGTGATTTTGATTTTAAAATCTAATGTCACGAGATCCATCTTAAATAACATTTAGGGGTGGGAAACGATTGCGGTTAAACAGAAATCGCACCGAATAAGAGCAGTTTATAGTTAACCGCAAAAACCATTTAAAAGGGCCTTTATTCGGTAACAGTTTAGTGGAATTGGCTCTTCTACGGTTTGTGCACTAACCACACACCGCACCGAATAAGTAACCCCCATCGAATAACTTATCGCGCATGCCCAGCCCAGCCCAGGCCTAACCCATCCAACAGCCAAAAATTCAATCCCTCTCCATCCAAAGCCCCAATTTATCCACAAACTTCCAAGTTCCCAAATTGGCCTAGGGTTCCATTCCTTCCTTTCTAGTCTCGACTTTCCTTTGTTGCTCGCAGGTCACAGTGCTGGTGAACGCCTAAACCTTTGTGGCTTTGTCGACTGTCGTCGCGAAGAGGAAAACATTGGCCAGGGTGCAACAAGCACCAAGCAGCAGAGCACGAGCATGCGCCAGCTCCACCGATGGTGTGCACGAGTAGAGGAGCAGGCATTCCTGTCCGTCACCGTCGAGAAGTAGAGCAAAGCACAAGTGACAGAGGAGGAGGAGGAGTTCGTCGTTTGCACCGTTTAACTCTTAATCACATTGTGTGGTTTGAAGTGCAATTAACTGCAATTAACTACTAACTGTAATTTACGGTTAGTGGTTCACGCAAACCGTTTGCATTGCGGTAACGGTGAGTGATTTTCCCTTTGTGCACTTGCTATTAACCGCGCTTATTCGATGCAGTTAACCGCAATGGCACAGTTTCTCCCTCTAATAACATTAAGTTTCATAATCTATTTGGACTTGCAGAAGGGTCTTTAGCCTATTAGTTCTTTAGTGGTGAAACAAATGAATGTGGAGTGGGGTTCAACATGACTCACTCGACTAGTAGTGATAAGCTATCAACGAGTTCTGCTTTTTATCACTTTTAATAATTAGTTTATTCACAAGCTATCAAGCTATTTTGCTCCGTCGATGAATAAGCGATCATCTATTCGCCAAGTTTCAGGTGCCATAATTCACACAATCGATTGTAATCGAGAAGAAGCATTTCGAAAGCAAAATTGGAGAAGTAATTGAGATATTTTTAGGTTTCTCTCGATTCCAAGCGGTGGGAAGAAAAAGGAAGGGAAAAGAGGGTGAGTTGTGAGATACAAAGCGAGAGAGAGAGAGATGGAAGAACAAAGAGGAAGGCAAAGAGAGAGTGAGAGGACATTTAAAAGAGGAGGAAAATTAGGTAGTGTAAATAATTGCCCTTATGCTTTGATTAGTGGATATTCTTGGTCATATTCTGTTGAGTTTTGATTTATTTTAGAAGATGACATTATATTTAACATATTTTTTTCATTTCAATTTAAAATACTAAATCAATATTATCATTTGGAAGATTTTCCTTAATACGATTATTGTAATTTTTGAGATTTAAGGGTATTTGATCATGTCAATATTTTAGTGTTTTTTTATTAAAGTTTGTATTGAAAGATCGTATGTACCGACGATTAGACCATAAAACTTCACATCATAGGCTAAATCGATAGGAGATATTAGCAATATGAAACGGTTGAACCACAATTAAATTATGACTTCAGTATAATATACTCTACTACCAACTTTTTCTATACGATTTTACAATCCTTTGGTTCAAACAATTCTTTTACACTGGTGGAAACAAAAGTTTTAAGGCACATTTTGAAGTATCTATTGCAAAAAAGCATAAGTCAGTTAGCGATAATGAATATGCGATCTCATGCAACCCAAAAGACACTTCGTGAAAGTGTTTTTGGAGAATCCTGAGGTTGTTTCCTCGGTTCTTTTTCTTCTTATTATTAGCCTAACCTGTTCTTGAAATGCTCCAGTAAGTCACGAGCTAGGGCCTTTGTGAGTATGTCAGCTGTTTGTTGTCTCAAAGGCACGTAGTTGACATCCACGACCCCATATTCAACCTTCTTGAGACAAAATGCTTGTCTATCTCGACATGTTTAGTCCTGTCGTGATGGACTGGATTCTTTACAATGCTCAAGGCTGCCTGACTGTTAGTGTACATCTGCACTTTCTCTGACTAGGCAGATTTAGTTCCTTAGGGCTCTTTGAATCCATATAGCTTCTTGGATACCAAGAGCTAATGCCCGGTACTCTGCTTCGGCACTACTTCTAGCAACCATCGATTGCTTTTACTCCTCCAAGTCACAAGATTAACCCAAACATATGAGCAATAACCAGTAGTAGATCTCCTTGATGTTATTGCACTAGCCTAACTTGCATCGGTATATAGCTCAATGTTCGCTGCTATTCTTTGCGAGAAACAATCCAGTCCTGGAGTTGTTTTCAAGTATCTTAGGATATGTGTCACTGCTGCCAAGTGTTCTTCTGATGGATCATTCATGAACTGACTTACCACTCCTACGGTGAATGCAATGTCTGGCCGTGTGTGGGATAGGTAAATTAGCTTCCAACGAGCTGCTGATAGCGCCTTTATCACCCCGTTTCACATATGATTCGGTGGTGAATTGGATGTTTGGTTGCATCGTGTATCTGTCTATTTACAACCAGTCATTCCTGTTTCTTCAAATAGATCAAGGACATACTTCCTTTGTGATATAAGCAGTCCTTTATGTGACCTGGCCACCTCCATTCCCAAAAATATTTCATTTCACCAAGATCCTTTAGCTCAAACTCTTATCCCAGTCTAGTCTCAGTTTCTCGATTTCTTTAGTATCACTTCCAGTGACAATTATGTCATCAACATAGACAATCAGGATAGTGAGCTTTCCTCTTGTCCATATTTGATAAACATAGTGTCATCGACTTGACTTTGGGAATACCCATCTGCCATCACAGTTTTAGAGAACTTCTGAAACCACGCTCGTGGTGATTGCTTTAGTCCATATAGTGACTTCTCCAGTGTACACACCGAGCCTCTGCCATGCTTATTTTCCACTCCTTCGGGTATCTCCATGTATACTTCCTCACTAAAATCGCCATTTAGGAAGGCGTTCTTGATATCCATTTGAAACAGTGGCCAGTCTTCATTAACTGCAATAGACATTAGTATTCAGATAGTCTTCAATTTTGCCACGGGAGCAAAGGTTTCTTGGTAGTCTATGCTGTATGACTGTGTGAATCCTCTAGCTACCAGCCTTGCCTTATAACTTGCAACACTTCCATCGGAATTGTATTTGATGGTGAATATCCACTTGCAATCAACTGTCTTTTTCCCGTTGGTAGAGGCACAATCCTCCAAGTTCCATTCTCTTCCAATGATCTTATTTCTTCTAGAAAAACTTGTCTCCATTGAGGATGCTGCATTGCTTCTGCAATGGTCCTATGGGTTGAGTCCAAATGGCTAGTGAATGCCTTGAACTCCTTACTTAGCTGTCCATAACTAACATACCTTTGAATGGGGTATTTTGTACATGACCTCACTCCCTTTCGTAGAGCAATTGTTTGATACACACTAGCTTCAATATTCTCCTCCTGATTATCCACTTCGACTTCTGCTTCATCAATAGTGTTATGAGGTGGCTGTTCTTCATTGTCCGAAGCCTCATCTTCTATTCTAATTGTAATTTCTGGTTGTACTTGATAGACCGATAATTATACATGTTTTCACCCCTATTCTGAAGCCGTTTGTGATGAGGAATCTCGTGTTTTAAGCCGATTTCACGCTAGGTTGTGTGTTTATGTCATATTTCAGGTCCCGGCGTTGGAATCGAGGCGGAGGAACGAGTTCCGGGTCGAAAGGAGCGAAGTTGGGACAAAGGAGGCTGTTGGACCAAAATACCCGGCCAAAGGAAGAAATACCCGACCGGGTATTTTCTTGCCTTGACCGGGTATTTCTCACTTCGGGCGTCCGTGAGAAGCAGAAGGGGGCCCGGGCAAATGCCTAAAATCCCCGGTCGGGGATTGTGAGAACAGACCGGGGATTTCCCCCTTTAACGAAACGGTGAGTTTGGCAAATACCCGGTCGAACCCCTGAATACCCGACCGGGTATTTCGACCGAGTATCGCGATGGCAGCTGATAAAAGGAAAAGAAGGCCAATTTTCAGGGGGTTCCGAGTTTTTGAGAGAGAAAGCGATACCTAGAGAGAGAAAGCGACGAACCAGAGTTCCCAAGCGTCATAGATCGATCTTCATCACCATTGGAGCCCGGCTTGAGCTTGGAGAAGTGCGATTAAACGTCCAGGAGCAGAAATCCATCTTCACAGTATGATTTCCGCGTCTGAATCTGCTTTTGCTTCTTTCTCTATGGAGTAGTTCCCCCATTCATCTGGGTATGGGGAACCCTAGATTTGTATGCTAGGTCTGATTGTATGAACCCAAGTACAGAGTTCGTGAATTGATTATATTCGATCGAGGTTTGAATGATTGAATGACTTGAATCCTGATCAAATTCCTGTTGTTTCTGCTTTAACCTAGAATGAGAATATCTGCCTAGGTTGATAGAGTACCCTTAATCGAAGGTGGCGAATTGGTGACTTTAGTCGAGGAGCCAATTCGCTATTCTGTACCGAATTCAATTCGGTAGTGGAGGTTTGGTTCGTTAGGGCCTCAATCTGTTTACTCCGGTGGAGGTTAGTCGCCCGCTAGAGACTCAGATTGAGAGGGTCTGGAGACCTTTAGTCGAGACTTCAGGCTAATTGAGAACCTTCCGCAGTATAACTTTCATGAAAACTGAACTTGGTAAATTGCAATCCGACTTAACTGCAGTCTAGGGGTAACCATATCCGGGTGACCTCTCTTGACTTGAAAACAACCATTTACTTGCTTAGTGTTTTGTTTGCTTGAGTTGCACTAAAAGTTCACCGCTAAATAACAAGAATTCACCGAGTAGTCATCACATCTAGGACCCGGGTTGACAATAAAACCCAAACCCGCTATACTACGCTTTAGGAAGTGGTTGCACTTGGCCATTTTCTAGAGTGACAGTAGGAGTGAGTCAAGTTTTTGGCGCCGCTGCCGGGGACGGCTAGGTTGTTGAAGAAAAGTGATTTCTGTTACTTTAGCATTTTCATTTTTGCATTGAGTGTTTGTTCCTCCCCACTTGTGCCTTCACGGGTTTGCATTGCTTGATTGTGTGCAGATAGTGCATGACCCGTAGCCAGTCGGGAGGTTTACTGCCGTTGAATCCTGAGATTGAGCGCACCTGCAAACAACTTCGGAGACAACAGCGAGCTAGACTGGCTACGGTGGAGCGCCGAGACGGCCAATTGAGCAGCGACTCCGAGGACGAGTACGAGATGGAAGGTGATCAGAACCCGCCTCCTCAGAACCAGATCCTGGGGAATGACCCAAATCCCCAGGGAGCTGGAAACCATCATCATCCACCACCTCCGGGTCCCACCTTGGAGTACTACTATACTCCACGGATTGCTGACATCCGCCTGATCATCCTCTATCCGCCCATTCCTGCAAACAACTTCGAGATCAAGCCATGCTGGATTCAACTCATCACATCCTCTATCCAGTTCCATGGCTTGAAGGATGAGGAAGCCCGGGTACATCTGTCCCGTTTTCTGCAGCTGACGAACGGGTT